CCGAATCCCTAAACCCGAAACGCTACACCCCAACTGTTGAACCCAACACCCGAAACTTGAATCCCCAAACCCGACACCCGAAGCCCTAAACCCCAAACCCTAGTGATAACCCACATAGAAGCCCCTTAAGTACCGTAATGGGGTTATAACTCGGTTTTCAGTGCAGTTATAAAGCCTAAAAGCCTAAAGCCTAAAAGCCTAAACCCTAAAACCCTAAACCCTAAACCCTAAACCCTAAACCCTAAACCCTAAACTAAGTACCATGAACCTCCAAGTAAACCAGCGCCAGGCCAAGTCTTTGGAGAGCGCCGCAGGTCTGGGCAAGTGAAGAGGCATGCCTATGGGTTTAGGGTTTAGGGTTTAGGGTTTAGGGTTTAGGGTTTAGGGTTTAGGGTTTAGGGTTTAGGGTTTAGGTTTAGGGTTTAGGGTTTAGTGTTTAGGGTTTAGGGTTTAGGGTTTAGGGTTTAGGGTTTAGGGTTTACCCTAAACCCTGAACCCGAAACCCTGAATCGCAAACCCTAAGCCTAACCCTGAACCCTAAACCCTAAACTGGTGCTCCCCACTCCTATCATGTTTGTCAGTAGAAGGATCATGGTTTTGGGGTTTAGGGTTTAGGGTTTAGGGTTTAGGGTTTAGGGTTTAGGGTTTAGGGTTTAGGGTTTAGGGAAACCCAACAAACCCTAACTAAACCGTAAGCCCCTAAACCCTAAACCCTGAACCAAACTCCATGCGGACGTGGGCGCAACGGCGCTTGACCAACAGCAGGCGTCTCCTCGCCCCCACCACCCACCCCCGGTGCTTTTCGGGTTTAGGGTGTAGGTTTTAGGGTTGAGGGTTTAGGGTTTGGGGTTTGGGGCCTGAGCCCTGAGCCCTAAACCCTCAAGCCTACAGCCCTGAGCCCTAAACCTACATGTTTGAACACAGCCGGGTGTGTTTCCCGAAGCCCTAAACCCTAACCCCTAACCCCTAAACCCTAAACCCATAAGAACCCTGCAGGTTAGTAGAAACAATATGATGGTTTTGCAGAAGGGACCGCTGTGTCCTTAACCCTCATCTAGTCATATGGTCAGTTCTCTAACTGATGGTCCCTTTGGGTTGCCCGAAATCAGAGGCCCCCCAACAGGACCCCCAACCCGAAACCCTCAACCCGACCCTAAGCCCTAAACCCTAAACCCCAAACCCTAAACCCTAAATCCTAAACCCCAAACCCTAAACCCCAAACCCCAAGCCCAAGATGGAGACCTTGGCAGGCCCCTAGAGCCCTTCTGGATTGGCGACATCAGCCACCTCGCAAAGACACTTCTTGGCGCCACGCCCGGGGAGCAGGGTTTAGGGCTTCTAGGGTGTCAGGGTTTTAGGGTTTTAGGATTTCAGGGTTTTAGGGTTTTAGGGTTTAGGGTTTTAGGGTTTTAGGGTGTTGGGGTTTTGGGGTTTTAGGGTTTTTGGGTTTTTGGGTTTTAGGTTTCATGGTTAGGGTTTAGGGCCAGGCTTAGGGTTTAGGTTCTATGGGCCAAAACCTGACTCATTCAAGGCCTGTTGCGTCGTGCATCTAGTTCCAGCGGAAACAATGCGCGTATCTGGGCCAGGCGGTTTTACAGTTGTAGTTGTGGTTTGTGAGTGGCTAGCCTGAGCCTTAGACCTCGAACCCTCCACAACCCGATGTACCCGCTTAAGAGACCCTAAGCACCATCGAAGGGGTACTCCAAATTATGGCTATGAACCTGTTGCCTCGGTTTGGGGTTTATGGCTTAGGGTTTCTGGGTTCTGTGGTGACGTGTTGTTTGGGATTCTTCGGGCTTAGGGTTTACGAATTGTAGTCAAGAGACTTATGAACACCCAATTTGGGGCCCTCACAATCCCACTTGCATATGGCTAGAGGACCGCTCTCTGTGTAGACAAGAAACGGGTAACCCAGGGGTGGGGGGGGGGGGGGGGGGGGGGGGGAGGAGGGTGGATATCTGTGGAACTTAGAAGTCAAACCGTGCGGGTTCAAATCGAGCAGCGCTTGTGAACCCCCTGCAGCCCAGGTGTGGGTTTAGGGTTTAGGGTCTAGGGTTTAGGGTTTAAGGTTTAGGGTTTAGGGTAAGTCCCCAACAAGGGATCATGCGCTTAAACTCGACCTTCAATCGTCCGGACAGCCCAAGCCCTTACCCCTGTCGCCCCAAACTCCTACACCAATGAATTTAGGGTTCAGGGTTTAGGGTTTAGGGTTTAGGGTTTAGTGCAACGCTGAGGGAGCACCCCGAACCCCAGACTCCAAACTCCATAAGCTCTACGTATAAACCCAAAACCCCAAACCCAGACTCTATAAACCCCAAACCCGAAACCCCCGAAACCCGAAACCCTAAACCCTAAACCCTAAACCCTAAACCCTAAACCCTAAACGCTAAACGCTAAACCCTAAACCCTAAACCCTAAACCCCATCCATCTGGCCGCCATGGCGCCGAAAGAGTCGAATGAGGAGGCCATGCTGCGGCTCATTGCCGGGCGTGGTAAAGGAGGCTGGTTTAGGGTTTAGGGTTTAGGGTTTAGGGTTTAGGGTTTAGGGTTTAGGGTTTAGGGTTTAGGGTTTAGGGTTTAGGGTTTAGGGTTTAGGGTTTAAGCTGGCTGCAGAGGGTGCTGGCTTTGGGTTTTGGGGTTGAGGGTTTCGGGTTTCGGGTTTCGTGTTTCGGGTTTCGGCTTGTCACGGTTAAGGGTTTAGGATTCAGGGACCTTAAGCTGTAATAGCCGAACGCTAGGGTTTTGGGGTTTGGGGTTTAGGGTGTAGGGTTTGGGGCTTCGGGTTTTGGGTTTGGGGATTTTGCAGTTTAGGGCTTAGGGTGCAGGGATTGTGGCTTCAGGTTTGCGGCTTGGGGATTCTCAAGTTTAGGGTTTAGGGTGCAGGGTGTCGGATTTAGGGGCCCTAAGCTCTAATATACTGTATAGACCTGAAGGCTGGGACGATGTAGAATCATTGTGTAAGGCCACAGCTAGGTGATCAATGAGCCCGATGAACACCTTAAAGCTTAAGCTCTAAACCTCCAATCCCCCAAACCCCCGACCTGAAGCGATGGGCAAGTTTAGTGTCATACAGGGTGGGGCCCCCTAGTTATAAGTAGAGTTATAAGGGCCCTAAAGTGGGTTATAAGGACCCTAAGTTAGGTTATAAGTCCCTTAACTACAGTTAGTATAGTAAGGGGGCCCCACCCTGTATGGAGCCTTACGAAAATATGGGACCCCCGCATAATAGACCCCCAAATAGTAGGATTCCCTTATAACAAGGACCCTAAAAAGGTGCCCCAAGTATCGTAAACCCCTACAAGAAGAGCTTCAACCCAACCAAGGAAGGTTATCAGTAGCCCTAAACCCTAAACCCTAAACCCTAAACCCTAAACCCTAAACCCTAAACCCTAAACCCTAAACCCTAAACCCTTGAAGCCCTAAAACTTCTATTCGATCTTCTCGCAGGGAAAGGCGATCGTGGGCCAGGGCCAGGCCCCCAGAGTTCCCCTTCTTTGCGAGTTGAGGGGTGTAGGGTTTTGGGTTAGGGGTCAGGGGTTCAGGGTTTAGGGTTTAGGGTTTTGGGAAAATCCCTAGGAAGAATCGGCCAGCACCCTAATCCCCCCCTCAACGTCTGAGAAAAGCCTTTTCATAGGGCTCTTGTGCCCGAAGGTACACTATAAGAAAACCCTACCCCGCTGTCCCCGAACCTAGATGTTGGGATGTTCGCCCTTATTCAGGCCTTAGTAGCCCCCTGTTATCATCAGGACTGTTAGTTTAAGGGGGAACATCACAGCCTGAAACCCTAAGCCCTAAACCCTAAACCCTAAACCCTACTAAACTCTACCTAAACCCCAACCCTAGCAAGTTGCCAAGATGAGGTCCCACCATGGTGGCGGTGTGGGCAAAGGTTACAAAGGCGCCTTGTCACGCAAGGGTTTCGGCAATACAGCGTTGAGGTCTAACCACAACCCCCCCTAAACCCCAACCCTAAACCCTAAACCCTAAACCCTAAGCCCTAAGCCCTAAACCCTAAACCCTACGATTTCGTGGCTTCGGGTCTAGGTCCTGGAGGTTTGAAGTGCTCATAACTTTACTTGGTTCGGTTAAGGTTGCTTCTTTATGTAGACTACCAAACGGGACCCCCTTAGTTCTAAGGGTCCCAAACTTGGGCTATAGGTACTGCATCCCAGGCGATAAGTCCCCGAACTACAGTTTTCATCGTTCGCATAGGAAGGAGGCCCCGCCAAAAGCTTCAACCCCAAACCTGCAGCCCTGTATCATTCTAAGGGAGTAAGAGGTCTGTGAGACCTGATATTCGATCCTAAACCTCCCAATGCTTAGGGTCTCCATTTGTCTTCCGCGACTTGTTGTTGCCTGCCGGCTTTTGACCATGCTTAACCTAAACCCTAAACCCTAAACCCTAAACCCTAAACCCTAAACCCTAAACCCTAAACCCTAAACCGGGTTGTTGCAGACCAAATGTAGTGGGCTTAGATCAAGTACCGGATCCTCAACCCCGAACCTGAAATCCTATGACCGGAAACCTCAGCTCCAACGATGCCGGCCCGCCAGTCTGGGTGCCGGGGTCCTTAGCCCTAGGGTTTAGGGTTTAAGGTTTAGGGTTTAGGGTTTAGGGTGTAGGCCTTCATCCCTCCAAAAAAAGCCCTAACTCCCCCCCCTCCCCCCCCTAAGACCTCAACCCTGGACCTTACGGTAAACTCCCGAAATGTTGGAACATCCTCATCCCCTAAACCTTAAACCCTAAACCCTAAACCCTAAACCCTAAACCCTATACCCCCAAAGGGTATACTCAAGGGAATCCCAGCTCTCATCATCCTTAAACCATGTTCCAACTTCTGATTTTTCGGTAGACCCTAAACCCTGAACCCTGAACCCTAAACCCTAAACCCTAAACCCTAAACCCTAAACCCTGCTCCTCTCCCCTCCTCCAAAGGCGACGGCAAAGGCAAGGGCAAGGGCAAGGACTTCAGCAGCGACCAAGTGCCCGAGGATCGGCGCAGCGAGCTGCGCCGCGGACTTGTTCTGAGGGTTCAGGGTTTAGGGTTTAGGGTGCAGGGTTTAGGGTTTAGGGTTTTGGGCTTTGGGTTTTGGGTTGGCATTATCTCACCCGAAGAAGGTTCAGGGTTTCGCTTTCATACGTTTGGCTTTGGCGCGTGTATCTATGTGTGTGTATATATATATATATGTATGAGATGTCCTTTTGGTGGTACAAGTAACGAAGCCACTGTCTCATATCAAATAAAATAGCATGACATCGAATGTGGCATTTTGCGATGAAAGGTTTCGTTGCCAGATGTGTTGTGAGGATTCTCTGTACATTTATCTACTATAGAACATATATATATATATATAATATTATTTTGACGCACTAATTGTCCACGATGTTGCTATACTTGTTGACTACGATGCTACTGAAGTACTTCAATTACTGTACTGATAGACCTGTATATTCTGTTGATACCATTTCGTGGTGGGTTTGGCTTTGTTGCTATGCCGCAACGAGTACCCAAACCCTAAACCCCAAACCCCAAACCCTAAACCCTCAACCCCCTGAACCCCAAACCCCCCCAAAGCCATAAACCCTAAACCCTAAACCCTAAACCCTAAACCCTAAACCCTAAACCCTAAACCCTAAACCCTAAACCCTAAACCCTAAACCCTAAACCCTAAACCCTAAACCCTAAACCCTAAACCCTAAACCCTACCCAAGCCCCCAAGAACCCCAAAGGTGCGACCAGCTCGAGGCCTTCCTCCAGGGCCCGGACCCCCACCTGGAGATGCCCGGATGCTTTAGGGTTTAGGGTTTAGGGTTTAGGGTTTAGGGTTTAGGGTTTAGGGTTTAGGGTTTACGGCTACTGGAGATGCCGGCGGACTTTGCTTCAACTTGTTTAGGGTTCAGGGTTTGGGGTTTAGGGTCTAGGGCTTTGGGGGGTTTGGGGTTTAGGGTTCAGGGTTTGGGGTTTAGGGTTCAGGGTTTGGGGTTTAGGGTCTAGGGTTTGTAGGGTTCAGGGTTTGGGGTTTAGGGTTTAGGGTTGTCAGGGTTGAGATGCCCGGAAGCCGCCGGTGTTCATTTTTTGGTATTCAACTGGTTCAGGCTTTGGGGTTTGGGGTTTAGGGTTTAGGGCTCCAGAGGGTCTAGGGTTTTAGGGTTTCGGGTTTAGGGTTTAGGGTTTTTGGGTTTTGGTTTTAGGGTTTGGGGTTTAGGGCTTGGGGTGTTCAGTTGGTTTGGTGTTTTAGGGGTTAAGGTGTTGGGTTTTTAGGGTTCAGGTTTTTAGGGTTTGGTGTTTAGGGCTTAGGGCCCTTGGACAAGTGAGGATGCCTCCCACTGTGACCGGGCTGGAGCGGAAGTTCCTCCATGAGCAGGTTGGCGACAATCATTTAGTTGTAGGGTTTAGGGTTTAGGGTTCAGCAGCTCGTGGTCGAGCCACCCCTGGCAGACCCTCAAGAAAAATGTCACCCACCCAGAGAATCCCAAAACATTTCAGAATTTTGAAGTCCATATTTTTGTCAGCTAGCCCTAAACCCCTAAACCCTAAACCCTAAACCCCCAACCTCACTCTGTCATGGAGCGGTCCACCCCACCCTCGCAGCCACCAGGTCCAATTTTGTTAATCCTCATGTTTCTCCCACCCCACCCTCGTACCGTGCACGAACAGCCAAAAAAAGCCCTGATTTTGTTAACCTAACGTTTTGTGTTTTGCCCCCCCCCCCCCCCCCCCCCCCCACCCTCAACCACTCATGTCAACCTCCTGTTTTTTTTGTGTGATTTTGTCAACCTCACCCCACTCTCGTACCGGCACGAACAGCCAAAAAAGCACCTAAGTCTGTAAACCTCACGTTTTCTGCTTTACCCCACCCCACCCTCGAACCACCCATGTCAACCTCATGTTTGTAGTTTTCCCCCACCCCTAAACCCTAAGCCCTAAACCCTAAACCCTAAACCCTAAACCCTAAACCCTAAACCCTAAACCCTAAACCCTAAACCCTAAACCCTAAACCCTAAACCCTAAACCCTAAACCCTAGCCCTAAACCCTAAACCCCAAAAGAAGACGAGAAAGAAGAGGGGGGAAGGGGGTGTCGAAGCCCCCATCTGCCCCAGACGTAGGGTTTGAGCCAGAAGAGGCCCTTTCGGGGGTGGTGAGGGGTGGGGGGGGTTTAGGGTTGAGGGTTGAGGGTTGAGGGTTTAGGGTCCCCTACACCGTTGCATTTTCTGCGCTAAACCCCATAAACCCAGGCCCCAAGCCCCAAACCTTCTCAAAGGCCCCAAACCCTTGGGAAGGCTGAACTGCGGGGCCTCACGACGCAGTCGTTTGGCCAGGGGAGGGAGCGGTACATCTGCATCTTCAAGCAGGCAGCGTGGTTGGGTTTTAGGTTTTTTGGTTTTTTGGTTTTTGGGTTTTGGGATTTTGGGTTTTGGGGTTTTGGGTTCCAGGGTTTTCAAGGTTTGGGGGTTTGGTCTTAGGGTTTAGGGTCTAGGGGCGAGGCTGCGGGAGAGGTATTGGTTTTGCTTGGGTCGGGGGGAGGCTGGAAATTGGAGTTAAGAGCGGTTGAGGGTTTACTGGTGGGATTGCAATAAGTGTTTGGAGTGTGTTTTAGTTCTAGTGTGGTTTGAGGCTGAGAGCTTATGCAATGGGTAGTTTTTCAACCCACGAATCCCTAGCCCCTTATGAAGAGGGCTGCGACAAAGAGCAGGTTGCACACAGGCGGCGCTGCTCTTGCCGTGATGGGGGGCGTTGGACTACTTTTTGATATTGGTTATTTCGGGGCTTCTTGGGGTGTGGGTCAGAGATTTAGGCGCGTTTGTATAAGGATCTTTATGGTTTAGGGCGTTTAGGGTGTAGGGTTTCACCCTAAACCCTAAACCTTAAACCCTTTAGGACTTTCTGGGGCTGTCCGGGCGTCTCTGAGCAGGAGCGAAGTGTCGAGGGGCCCGTGGCGGAGGAGAGGGAGGGCGATGCGGTCGAGCAGGCGCAGGGTTTAGGGTTTGGGGTTTGGGGTTTGGAGTTTGGGGTTTAGGGTTTAGGGTTTAGGGTTTAGGTTTTATGGTTTAGGGTTTAGGGTTTAGGGTTTAGTTGAGGGTTTAGGGTTTAGGGTTCAGGGTTCAGGGTTCAGGGTTCAGGGTTTAGGGTTTAGGGTTTAGGGTTTAGGGTGTGTGGCAGGGTGGGGTTCCTTCGGTCTCCAGAACTTAGGGTTTCGGGTTGAAGTTGGGATGTTCCCCCTTATACTAGGTTGGTATTCAGCCAATGCTGGTCCTTGAAACGAGGTCTTCCAGCTCTTTTGGCCAGAATTCCAGGTAAAGAGCTTCAACGAAGTCATATTATGTTGAATGACTAGTGATGGGATTTAACCGGCGACATGTGCACCGGGACTGTGTGAGCATCTGCCAGAACGTGCCGGAAAGTGTTAGTGATGGTTACTGGGCTACCAAGTAGTTCCCAAAACAAAAACACACCCAAAGCAAGTACGATGCCCCCCCCCTAAGCCCGAAACCACCTGAAACCCGAAAACCCTATTTTTCCGCACCCCCCCCACCCACCCCCAGCCCCCCCTCCCCACAAGAAAGAATGCAAGAACCCTCAACCCTGAACCCTAAACCCCTAAACCCCTAAACCCCTAAGCCCCTAAACCCCGAAACCCCTAAACCCCCAAACCCCCAAACCCCCAAACCCCTAAACCCCTAAACCCCTAAACCCCTAAACCCTAAACCCTAAACCCTAAACCCTAAACCCTCCCTTGCCACCCCTCGGCAAGAAAGTCGAGGCCTCCTACACGGGCGTTTTCCTCGACACTCGGAGCCGCGGAGCGCTCCTCCAGTTCTGCGAGACTTCGACTTGTTTTTGGGGGGTTTAGGGTTTAGGGTTTAGGGTTTAGGGTTTAGGGTTTAGGGTTTAGGGTTTAGGGTTTAGGGTTTAGGGGGCCTACTAGAAAGCCCACAGTCGCACTTTTGTCCTCTTTGGGTAAGGGCTTGCGAAACTGGGCGAGTTGAGAAGAATCACCGCTGTTGACTGTTTAGGGTTTGTGGGCTTTGGGGCTTAGGGTTTATAGGGTTTACGGTTTGTAGGGTTTAGGTTTTAGGGTTAGGGTTCGGGTGGTGTTGTGGCGACTGTATCTGAGAATCTGAGGCCAGATTCCGCTAGACTCAAATGACAAAGCACCAACCCCCCAATGCCTGTCAACCCTAAACCCTTATAATTACGCTGAATCCGAAATCCTGCAACTAAAGCCAGGACACTCCTCAATCTTTGGACCCGAAATCCTAAACCCTAAGCCCCAAACCCTAAGCCCCAAGCCCCAAGCCCCAAGCCCCAAACCCTAAACCCTAAACCCTAAACCCTAAACCCTAAACCCTCAACCCTGAACCCTGAACCCTGAACCCTAAACCCTAAACCCTAAACCCTAAACCCTAAACCCTAAACCCTAAACCCTAAACCCTAAACCCTAAACCCTAAACCCTAAACCCTAAACCTTACCTCCTAAGCCCTAAGCCCATCACTAAAGCGCAGAGCTGCCAAGGCCAGCTCAGTCCCGGGTGGGGTGCCCCACCATTGGAGTCAGTTCTGCGACCACATGACGCGCCTGTGCTTGAGCTTCCTTTCTGGCGTAGGGTTTAGGGTTTAGGGTTTAGGGTTTAGGGTTCAGGGCAACATCTTTTTTGGCATATCCAAAGGCTCCTATGTAGTACCTTTTTCGGGAACTCATCCCGAAAGGACATACATTAGAGCTTGATTCAGGTCGGGCGTTGCAATCCCTTGAGCCTCGGAAAGCCCCAGGAGCCTTGCAAGGCGTCGATATCCCCAAAGCTTTACCAAACCCTAACCCTAAACCCCCACAGGCCTTTTTTACCCCTATCTACGGAACCTTAAAGATTCTCTCAGCCCCCCCTCAACCTCTATACCCTAAACCCTAAACATGACAGCCAAATACACCCTACATGGTCCGTAACCCAAGCCGCGACCCCCGGATCTTGATTGGTTTGGGGTTTAATCAGTGTGTATTGGGATGTTCCGCCCTTCTACTAACAGTCCTTAATAGGGATTATGATGGGGGGCACCAGAATCCCCATTAAGGACTGTTAGTATAAGGGGGAACATCCCAAAGTGTGTAGTGTTTGAGACCTTGGAGTTCAGATTAAGGGCGGCCAGAGGTTTAGAATTTTGGTGTCGTTTAATCCCTAAACCCTAAAGCCTAAACCCTAAACGCTAAACCCTAAACCCAGGTTCAGAGTTTTAGGGTTGTCGGCCTCGGTCTTGGGGAGGTGAGGGTGGGCTTGGTGTGTGCGGTGCACCTCCCTTCAGCTTCCCAGACCCCTGGGAGGATCCAAAAAGGGTTTAGGGTTTGGGGTTTAGGGTTTAGGGCTACTATAGGGGCGGGTAGTATGGTATAATTATCAAGGGACCATAAGGGAAAACTATCAGTAATCATTCCAACCCCACATGACCCAGAAGTAGTTTAGGGTACTCTTTGGTCTGAGGATCTGCGTCGGCGCCTTGAGCAATCCGAAGACAGAGGACTACCGTTCCGTGGCCGTGCCTTGGCGCAGAAAACCCTAAACCCTAAACCCCAATCCCTAAACCTTAAACCCTAAACCCTAAACCACAAACCCTAAACTCTAAACCCCAAACCCTAAACCCTAAATCCTAAACTCTAAATCCTAAACTCTAAAGAAGCATGCAGGAGGGCAAGAGGCCGACACCATGAAAAAACTTGGATCCCCGGCACCTCACAGTGGCTTGAGGGAGGGTTCCTCGGCCCCAAGAACTACAGGGTTCAGGGTTTAGGGTTTAGGGTTTATGGTTTAGGGTTTAGGGTTTAGGGTTTAGGCTCTTGGGTTTGGGGCAGGGTTTGAGCTGTCCGTATCAAGCGCTGGAAGGTAAACACGAAACACCAGCCTAGAACACACAATATGTACACCTAGGCCATGATTATTGTAGCTTGTTTGTTCAGCTAGCCCCAAACCCTGAACTCTAAAACCAGTTTTTCAAAACAAACAAAACAAAAGCAACTGAAGATCCCAAACCCTAAACCCTAAACCCTAGACCCTAAACCCTAAACCCTAAACCCTAAACCCTTGTGCTGCTGCGGCAAGGACACGGTGCAAAAGCAGATTGCCAAGTACCGCGAGGGCCAGGAGAGTGCTTGCAATCCTTGGGAAATCGGCGCTTAGGGTTCAGGGTTTAGGGTTTAGGGTTTAGGGTTTAGGGTTTAGGGTTTAGGGTTTAGGGTTTAGGGTTTAGGGTCTCTAAGGCCCCCTAGACGAGAGGTTGAGAGGGTTCAGGTAAGTCCCTCACCCTAGACCCTGAATTTTAACACCCTCCTGGAGACCAAGAAGAACCCTAAACCCTAACCCTGAACCCTGAACCCTAAACCCTAAACCCCAAGCGCGCAGGAGTTTGAGCTCAAGGTCGTCTCGGTGGGCAAAGACGATCATGTGCTGGCGGTCGGCGTCATCGGCTGCACCTCCTGCAACCGGAATCCACACATCACCGTGCCTCGGCGGCAGCGCTAGGGGTTTAGGGTTTAGGGTTTAGGGCTTATAGGGTTTAGGGTTTAGGGTTTAGGGTTTAGGGTTTAGGGTTTAGGGTTTAGGGTTTAGGGTTTAGGGTTTAGGGTTTAGGGTTTAGGGTTAGAGTCACATGCTTAGTTCTCTAAAGTAGGTGAAGGGTTTGGGTTTAAGCTTTAGGGTTTCGGGTTTCGGGCCAGTAAACCCTAACACCTACATTGTCCTAGAGTGGATGAAAGTGATCCCTAAGCCCAACCTCGAAACCTAAACCCTTAAGCCCGAAACTCCGAACCCTAGACCCTAAACCCTAAACCCTACCTGGGAATCTCCCCTCCTGAAGCAGTCTGCCAAGGTGGCCACCGCGCCGGGGTATCCACCCAACACCAGTGGCTTTCCCTTGAAGAGGGTTTGGGGCGTAGGGTTTAGGGTTTAGGGTTTAGGGTTTAGGGTTTAGGGGAAACGCTGAGGAGTCTCTCGGTTGCGGGTTTAGGGCTTAGGGTTTAGGATTACCGGATTCAGGCTTGCGCGTGTAGGGTTCAGGGTTTTGGCCTTCAGGGTTTGGTTTTGGTTTAGGGGAGAGCTCTTACAGGGTGGGGCCCCCTAGTTATAAGTAGAGTTATAAGGGCCCTAAATTGGGTTATAAGGACCCTAAGTTAGGTTATAAGTCCCTTAACTACAGTTAGTATAGTAAGGGGCCCCACCCTGTATGGTTCAGGGTTTAGCGGCTAGGGGTAGTGACGAAGCTCGGTTCTTTGTGCACACATACGCAATTTCCGACGTGGATACTTGGAGGTTCATGGGTACTTATCACCACAATTATTAAGTCTACTTATAACCTACTTAGGGGACTTAGGGGGCTTATCAGCACAGTTATAGTTTGGGGTTATGGGTACCCTGAACCTCCAGGTAGCAATGCAGGGTTGTAGAGTGCTATGCCATCTTCTTCGACCTTGCCCGTGATGCGTGGCCGGAGTAGAGTATCTCCAATCTTCGGGGAAGCCCTAAACCCCAAGCCCCTCAAACCCTAGACGCTAAATCCTACACCCAAAACCCGAAACCCTAAACCGATCGCTTGTTGCCCAAGTGGCTTTGACCAGGCAACAACATCAAGAAGTGGACGATGCTGCTCGGTCCGCGAAGGGCCTGGAAAGGTAACTGTAACGTAGCACAGGCAGCACTGGCTTTAGGATTTCCACACCCCGAAGCCCTAGCCTTTGCAAATACAGCTCGGTTTCGAACCCTAAACCCTAAACCCTAAACCTTAAACCCTAAACCCTAAACCCCAAACCCGTCGACCTGGGCCTGAGAGTCGTTCGGGACTTGGCAGAGGTAAGGGCTCCAGCAGTCGAGCCCAGGGTTTAGGGTTTAGGGTTAGGGTTTAGGGTTTAGGGTTTAGGGTTTAGGGTTTAGGGTTTAGGGTTTAGGGTTTAGGGTTTAGGGTTTAGGGTTTAGGGTTTACAGGGTGGGGCCCCCTAGTTATAAGTAGAGCTATAAGGGCCCTAAATTGGGTTATAAGGACCCTGAGTTAGGTCATAAGTCCCTTAACTACAGTTAGTATAGTAAGGGGGCCCCACCCTGTAGGGTTTAGGGTTTAGGGTTTAGCGCTACTAGGACCTGTAGGGTCTTATTGGCTTTAGGGTTCCGGGATAAAGTTTACCCTGTCGGCTCAGGATATCTGCAGATGAGCAGTTCACGCTCACAGGGGTGCTCAGGCAGCACCTCGCCAACGTCATTGTCTTGGGGTTTAGGGTTTAGGGTTTAGGGTATGGGTTTAGGGTTTAGGGTTTAGGGTTTAGGGTTTGCAGTTTCAGGGTTTAGAGTTTAGGGTTTATGGTTTAGGGTTTAGGGCTATTAGGACCTGGAGTAGGCCCTTATTTCCTTTTTCTCATTTGGGTTGGGGTGCGCTTGCAATCCCCTTAGAACCAAAAAGGGTGCCCTTTTATTCCTAGGCTACTCCCGAGTCTAGTTGTCTCCGCAAGTACCCTGAACAATTCTGGGCGTTAGGTGCCCTAAATCAGCCTAAATCCCAAAACCCTGCAACCGAAACCTATACTTGCAACTCCAAACCCGAAACCCTAAACTCGCAACCCTAAACCCGAAGCCCCAAGCCCTAAAGGCCAAAAAGGGGTTCCGAACTTCAGGAGTTTAGCCGTACAAAGCTTTGTGGGTTTAAGGGATTAAGGGTTTATAGTTGAGGGTCTAGGGTCGAGTTTACTAGCAGAATCTTTTGAGTGCTTTCGTCATTTGCGGGGGAATAGGCAAACCTTGAACCCTGTAAACCCCATACTCCCTGTAAACCCTAAGCCCATAGTCCTATCAACCCTACAGGGTGGGGCCCCCTAGTTATAAGTAGAGTTCTAAGGGCCCTAAATTGAGTTATAAGGACCCTAAGTTAGCTTATAAGTCCCTTAACTACAGTTAGTATAGTAAGGGGGCCCCACCCCCTACTTGGGGCTGTTGGGACCTTTGGCACTCGTGTGGGGACCTTTTGACTGCCAGGGCAGCCGCCAAGGGAGCTGGGCTTTGTTTCGAGAGGCGTAGATGTGTGTATATATATATATCTATATATATATATATATGTGTGAGTGTGTGTGTGTGTGTGTTTCTGAATCGCTTTGGGGTTCGTGGCGCTTTAGGGTTTCAGGTTTTGGGTTTAGGACTTGTGGGAAGTTGATGGTTTTGGGTTTCACCAAGCTCTTCCTCCCAGATGTGCTTCCCAAGCCTTAAAACCCTAAACCCTAAGCCCTAAAAGCCCTAAACCCTAAATGCCATAAACCTGAAATCCTAAACCCTAAACCCTAAAAGCCCTAAACCCTAAAAGCCCTAAACCCTAAAAGCCCTAAACCCTAAAAGCCCTAAACCCTAAAAGCCCTAAACCCTAAAAACCCTAAACCCTGAACCCTAAACCCCTAAACCCCCAAACTTCCCAGGCATCAGCAGGAGGGCCAGAAGCGGCGGGAACGCGCACGCGACGACGGGAAGACCGCCTCGCAGTGACCCGGACCCGAACCCCCAAAACCCAACAACCTCTCCCAAGTTCCCCCCCCTAAGCCCCCTAAACCCCGAAGTCCCCCTAAACCCGAAAACCCCAGAATCCCCTCTGAGCCCTAAAGCAGCCCTAACGCCCCCAAATAGGGTACCCCCAAATTCCCCCAAACCCCCCTCTCAGCACCAAAACCCCCCGAACCCCTCGAACCCCCCTAAACCTTAAACCCTAAACCCCTAAACCCCTAAAAGCCTCAAACCTAAACCCTAAACCCTAAACCCGAACCCCTAAAGAAAACCACCTCGCGCGGGCAGGCAACGCCCGCAGAGGCCCGAGGCCAAGACGTCCAGCTGGCATGGCCGGCCGCCGCGGCTGATAGGGTTTAGGGGTTCGGCTTCGAGGTTTAGGGTTTAGGGTTTAAGTTTCAGGGTTTAGGGTTTAGAGTTTAGGGTTTAGGGTTTAAGGTTTAGGGGGAAGGTTGAGGGTTGAGTGCTTGAGGTTGAAGGTTTAATTTTGTGTTTTGGAGTTGAGGGTTTGATTTATGGCTTAGGGTTGAGAGTTCAAGGTTGAGGGTTTGATTTATGGTTTAGGTTAAGGTCTGAGGGTTGAGGGTTTAAGGTTGAGGGTTTGATTTTTGGTTCAGGGTTGGTTCAGGGTTGAGGGCTAAGGGCTCGGGGTTTCAGGTTTTCCTTGATGGTTTAGGGTTCAGACCCTAAACCCTAAACCCTAAACCCTAAACCCTAAGCCCTAAGCCCTAAGCCCTAAGCCCTAAGCCCTAGGCCCTTGCAATCTCCCGCAAGGGGACTCGAAACTTTGAGGGTCTGAAGCTTTCGAGGCTTCAGGTGTACGCCCACGTCAGCTGGGTAGTTCGAAGGCCACTCTTAGGGTTCCGGCTTTAGGTTTAGGGCCAGGGTTTAGGGTTTAGGGTTTAGGGTTTAGGGTTTAGGGTTTAGGGTTTAGGGTTTAGGACCCATTTTCGGCGGAACTCATAGCCCATGTCTAAATCCCCGGAGTAATTCAGCAGCATAGAACTACAACTCATACTTTTCTTTGGCCCTGAACCTTTAAGTAGAGTTTCGGCCCTAAACCCTATACCCTAAACCCTAAACCCTAAAACCTGCCCCCTAAACCCTAAACCCTAAACCCTAAACCCTAAACCCTAAACCCTAAGCCCTAAGCCCTAAACCCTAAACCCTAAACCCCAATCCCCCCCCCCCCCCCCCCCCCCCCCGCCCTGAAAGCCCTAAACCAAGGTCGTTCAAGCTGCGCCTGCACTGCGAACCTGGGCAGAGCCCGACGCCTGAGGAGGGCGCTTTAGGGTTTGGGGTTTAGGGTTCGGGTTTTTTCAGGCTTTAGGCTTTGGGGTGCGAGGTTTAGGGTTTAGGGTTTAGCGTCTGTAGGGATCACAGGGTTTATAGGGCTTATAGGGATTATAGGGTTTATGGGGATTATTGGGTTTATAGGGTTTATGGGGTTTATGGGGGTTTGTAGGGTTTATAGGGATGGTAGGGTTTATAGGCTTTATCGGGCTTTTCGAGTTTATGGGGTTTATGAGGGTTTTTAGGGCTTATGGGGTTTGTAGGGTTTATAGGGTTTAGTGGTTTATAGGGTTTAGGGTTTAGGGTTTATAGGGTTGAAGGTTTGTGCTTTTTAGGTTTTCGGGTTTATAGGGTTAAAGGTTTGTGGTAGAGTGGGTATACGGTCTAGGGTTTACAGGGTTTAGCGTTTGCAGGATTTACGGTTTGTAGGGTTTCGGGGTCTTGAGTTTTCAGGGTTTACAGGGTTGATAGGGTTCAGGGTTTCGTGTTTATGGGCTTTAGGGTTCGGGTTTTGCGTTTCGAGTTTTGAAGGTTTATAGGGTTTAGGGTATATATATATATATACATATATATATATAGGGTTTTGGGTTTTTTTGGAGTTTGCGAGTTAGGGTCTGGGGTGTGTTGAGGGTTAGGCGCGACTCTTGGGCTTGGGTTTAGGGTGTAGGGTGTTGGGCATGTCCTAAACCCAAAAGCTCTTAAACCCTAAAAGCGTTAAACCTCATACCCTGTAGTGCTAAACCGTTTAAGTCTTAAGCCCTGAAACCCCTAAGCCCTAAAACCCTAAAACTGTTAATCCCTAAGCCCAAAACACTCAACCCTAAAACTTTCAGTCCGTAAAGCCCTTAAAACCCCAAAACGCTCAAACCTTAAGCCCTACAGGGTGGGGCCCCCTAGTTATAAGTAGAGTTATAAGGGCCCTAATTGGGTTATAAGGACCCTAAGTTAGGTTATAAGTCCCTTAACTACAGTTAGTATAGTAAGGGGGCCCCACCCTGTAAAGCCCGAGTCCCTATTCCCTACCCTCAACCCTAAAGCCCTTAAAACCCTGTCCCTTTCCAACCTTGAAGACTTGAAAACCTAATACCCTGGTCCCTCTTCCCTACGCTCAAGCCTAAACCCTAGAAGCCTAAACCTTTCAATCCTTAAAACCTGAAACCCTAGTCCCTCTTCCCTAGCCTAAACCCTAAACCCCAACACCCCAAAACCCGAAAACCCTATATAAACCCCAAAACCCCAAAACCCTCAACGCCAAAACCCCAAAACCCCAAAACCCCAAGCCCCAAAACCCTAAAGCGCCCAAGCCCCAAAACCCTAAACCCAAAACCCTAAGCCACAAAACTCCTAGACCCTAAACTCCTAAACGCTAGCCCCGAAAACCCCGTCCAGCCCTAAACTTCCTAGACTCCTAAACCCTAAACCCCTACAACTCCTAAAGCTCCTAGACCAGGAGATCTGCTGAACCTAAACTCCTGTAATCTCATCTGACTATATGAATTGAAAATAACTTGATCGTTGATATGGAAGATCTTTTCGCTATTTCATGTTGGACATTTTCTCTCCTTTTTGTCACGAATAGCGAATCACATTGCATGAAATAGTATGTATGTAAACAGATCAGAACATATAATTCTTTAGATTCGTACTTTCAGAATGCATGAGTAGTAATATTTGTGTATGACTGTCTGAGTTGAAAATTGTTTGTTTGTTGATATGGAAGATCTTTTGGCAATTGTTCGACTAATTTCTTACTTTTCACGATCATGAATAGCGTTGGATAAAACAGTTAGTAGTCATATAAACAGATAAGAAACTGCAATTCGTTGGATTCTGATCTTCAAAAAAAGATATGAGCAATGAACAAAAAACCCTAAACCCCAAGCCCTGACTTATGAACCCTAAACGAGTTTAGGCCGCCCCCTTACAGTGGGGCGGGGGGGGGGGGGGGGGGGGCGCCACTTCAGCCCCTCGACCTCTGAGCCCTAAACCCTAAACCCTAAACCCTAAACCCTAAACCCTAAACCCTAAACCCTAAACCCTAAACCCTAAACCCTAAACTCCTAAACTCCTAAAGCTCCTAAAGCTCCTGTTCCAGGCGACCTCCTGGTTCGGCCTTGGCGAGCGACCTGAGACCGGCCAGCGGACACGTGAGCTCAGACGTAGGGTTTAAGGGTTTGGGGTTTAGGGTTTAGGGTTTAGGGTTTGGGGTTTAGGGTTTGGGGTTTAGGGTTTGGGGTTTAGGGTTTGCGGGTTTGGGTTTAGGGCTTCGGGTTTAGGGCTTCGGGTGTAGGGGTTACAGTTTAGGGCCGAGGGTTTGGTTTTTGTGGTTTTGGGTGCAGGGCTTACATTTCTAGGGTTCAGGGTTTGGGATTTGACTTAGGCTCTCAACCCCTCCCTTGGGGCACCATCTGGAGCGCATCGGGTTTAGGGTTTAGGGTTTAGGGTTTGAAGCCCTAGGCCCGACACCTGAAGCCCTAATCCCAAACCTGGACACCCGAGACCGGAGCTCCGGCGGACATCGAATTACCCAGGAATACCCAAACCCTCAACCCTAAACCCCAACCCCTAAACCCTAAACCCTAAACCCTAAACCCAGGAATGCCCTGATGGATGGCTTCAGCCACGAAGCCGCCGCGCGCTTCACCTTTCATCAGGCGAAGCGTTGACTCGGCGTTGCTAGGGTTTAGGGTTTAGTGTTTCGGATTTAGGGTTTAGGGTTTAGGGAGGTTCTGTAAGAAACCTGATAAACGCTTAAAGCGATGCGCTACTGCAAGGAATGACCCCTTAGAAATACGAACTGTAGTTCAGGGACTTGCAACCTAGGGTGTAGAACTACTGAGCGCCAAAGTATAAGTCCACCATACATCCCGAGCCCTAAAGCCCTATCAGACGCCACCAAACCCACTCCTTTAGGGAGCAGAACCTCCGAAGTCCTAAGCCTTCATTCTTATGTTCAGGCGCTAAGCCATCCCGATTCCATGAACCCTAAATCTCATTGCTGGTGACCAGTGAGGCGGCGTTACAGCTTACAGGGCCTGGGGGCTTGCAACAACAGTAAGCTGGGTTCTTGTTGCATAAGGCGCGTGATCTAAGTTATCATAATGGGGTGACGTCTAGCTAGCTATATGTTTTGTTCATGGTCGCGTTTATTTATGTTCCTTGGCATCAACCCCAATACGGGGTTTCGGGGCGCCTTTGGTTTAAGTGTATTATCGGGTTCTTAAGGGAGGGGGGCTCATGAGGGTAGGTACCTAGGGAACCTTCGGGAAGCCTAGAGGGGACCCTTCGGGGCGTAGTAGGGAACCTTGGGTTATGTACCCTCCTTGATCCCTCCCTCCCTCAAGAACCCTATAATAAGAGGTTCCCTGAATGTCCTCCTAATTTTGGCCCTTATATTCCCTTAGAGGATCTTTAGGATGCACCCCTAGGGAGGTTAAATTTAGGTTCGTGCAGCAGGTGGGCGTGACTGCCGGAAATGAGCTGTTGAACCCCAGTACGCTGCCTCCCGGGGTGGTCATGACCGCCAAGGTGCCGGAAGGGCAAGGGGGAGCAGAACTCGAAACCCTAACCCCCTAAACCCCTAAACCGTAAACCCTAACCCCTAAACCCCCACTTTTCTCCACGTTTGTAGGAACGGCTCGAACCTCCTAAGCCTAGCAACCAGTGCTCAAACACCCCGGTTTTGGTTCAACACTAAACCCTAAACTTAAACCCTAAACCCTTGGGACTCGGGGTTAAGACCCTCAGCCCTAAGCCCTCAAGCCTCTCGGCTAAACCCTAAACGGCCCAGGATGGGCTATTATCCCCTAAACCCTAAACCTTAAACCCTAAACCCTAAATCCTAGCCCTAAACCCGAAACCCTAAACCCTAACCCTTGGGGCTCGGGGTTAAGACCCTAAGCCCTGAAGCAGGGCCGAAATGCCGCAGGTTCCTGTCTACACGCTTGAAGGCGCCCTGTGCTTCCGAGCTTTTGCTGCAGAGGGAGTGCAGATTTCAGGTTCGGGGGCCCTCTAAGCCTTAGTAGAGGGTTAGGGTAATCCCAAAGCCCTAACCCTTTAAAACAACTGGGCTATGGGTTCGGGATGCATTGGGCCTCCCAAACCTTTTGCCAAAATAAAGTGGCCCGTGCCATAGTCAGGTGTTTCAGAGACATGAGCACTCTCAGGGTTTAGGGCCTAGGGTTGAGGGTTTAGGGTTTAGGGCTGAATGAGGGTTCAGAGTTTAGGACTTCGGGTGGAGTGTTTGACTTGGGTTTGGTGCTCAGGGCCTTGGGGGGAGCTAGGGTTGAGGGTTTAGGGTGTAGGGTTTTGGGGTTTGGGGTTTTGGGTTTAGGGTTTAGGGTTTAGGCCTACGGTCCGCACACCCTGGGCAGAAAATCTGATGAGCATCCGATCCTTTCTTCCGAAGATTCTGAAGCTTCCCCCCATGTAGCCCTGCAGTCATCTTGTAGGGAACCTGATTCCCAGAATCCCAACTACGCAGGGGCTGGATAGTCAACTTAAACCTAAACAGCTTAGTGTAGGTGTTCCTGCTCCTTGTCTAAGAATGCCGACCTATCCGGATGCCCTAAACCCTAAACCCTAAACCCTAAACCCTAAACCCCGGATGCTCCGGCCCGGTCCCTGGGCTGCTGGTCCCCCGCTTGTCTTCCTTGGTCTCCCTTTCATGTGGGCCTTGGCCCAAGTCCGCGGACTGCTTGTCTCCGCTTGTCAAAAGGGTTTAGGGTTTAGGATTTAGGGTTTCGGGTTTAGGGTTTCGGGTTTAGGGTTTAGGGTTTCGGGTTTAAAACTCACTGAAGGCTTTGCCGACATTCTGGTGAGCATTGCCAGGTTTTTTGGGCTCCTTGTCTCCCTTCATGTGGGTGGCCTTTGACGGGTCCCTGGGCTCCCTGTCCCGTCGCCTTCCTTCGTGTGGGTGGCCCTTGCAAAATTGCAGCGCTCCTTGTCCCCCTTTTGTCTCCCTTCTGGACTGTTTGGGGTTGATGTAATGGTTAAAATAATCCTATTGCGAATAGAAGCTAAACCTTTTTTGGTCTAGAGTATTCAGCCCCTAAGACTCAGAATCCCTAAACCCTAAACCCTAAACCCTAAATCCTAAACCCTAAACCCTAAACTCTAAACCCCAAGCACCATCCTTCAGCAGGCCCCGATGCCGAGTGGGTGCGGGAGGTGGACGAGGGGCCCGGGCCAGAATACTTCGTCGATGGCGCCGTCCGGAGCCTGGCTGGGGTTTAGGGTTTAGGGTTTAGGGTTTAGGGTTTAGGGTTTAGGGTTTAGGGTTTAGGGTTTAGGGTTGAGGCTTGAGGCTTGAGGCTTGAGGGTTGAGGGTGGAGGGTTGAGGGTGGAGGGTTGAGGGTTTGGGGTTTGGGGGTTTAGGGTGCCGGTTCAGGGTTCTAGTCCAAGGGAAGTTATATGGGCCCTTAGTTTGGGTCCCTTACCTCCTTTAAAGGATTCCAAAGGTTCTGATGAGGGTGTAAGGTTTAGGAAATCCCCCCCCCCCCCCAGATTCCAACAACACCTACTAGGATGCCCAGTAGTAGCCCAGTAGTACCCTTATTCTCCTTTTGGGGGGTCTAGGTTCCCTTATAAACCCATTCAAAAAAAGGCACCTTGTTTTGATCCTAGGTTACTGGGCAACCTAGCAGATCATCCCCTTCAGGCTGTTGAAATCTGCCCGAAACCCTTTCAAAGCAACCCTTTAACCCCCCCAGATCGACCCGATGAAAGCCCAGACGCAACCCTCTAACAACCCTAGCCCTGTGTCCCTGAAAACCTTAAAACCTTAACCCTTAACCGGAACCCTGCACCCTAAACCCTGAACCCTGAAAGCCTTACACCCAATGAACCCCGTCCTAGGATTCCGAGGGGTCAGTGTTTGCCTTCCTCCCCCTCGAGGCAACCAGAAAGAACCGGTCTTGTGCGGCTTATGATTATGAGGGTTGAGGATTCAGAGTTTAGGGGTTTAGGGTTTGTGCTTAGGATTTTAGGGGTTTAGGGTTTGGGGTTTAGGGTGGGGTTTAGGAGTTCAGGGTTCTGAGGGTTCAGGGTTCTGACAGGGTGGGTACGGCGTAATATAGGGGCCTGATTTTTTTGAATAAACGGTTGCTATAGTAGAACTAGGGATCATGAGGGAATACTAGTAGTCATTTTTCCGACCCCTATATGAAGCAGGCCGGGTGGAAATTTAGGTTCAGGGTTTAGGGCTTATGGTTTAGGGTTCATGCTTTTGGGCTTCGGCTGTTAGGGAGAGTACGTTATGCTGCATTGTGTTTCCCGCAATTCTTTGGTGATGGTTCTTTTTTGAGAATTTTGTAGCGTAGTTGGTATTTACCCGAAGGGTATGGCCTTAAGTACCTCCTATATAAGGACTTTGGAGCCCCAAGTATGGACCCTTAGGGTTATAACAGACTCAAAAAGAGTCATGTCTCTTAGGGGGGGTCTACACCCCAAGCTGTACACCCCAAAGAAGCACCAAGCCAGCATCCTCCCCCTAAACCCATTTTAAACCCTAAACCGTAATCACCCTAAACCCTATATACTCCCTAAACCGTATAAACCCTACACCCGAAACTCTACAGGGTGGGGCCCCCTAGTTATAAGTAGAGTTATAAGGGCCCTAAATTGGGTTATAAGGACCCTGAGTTAGGTTATAAGTCCCTTAACTACAGTTAGTATAGTAAGGGGGCCCCACCCTGTACCCCTCCCGAAACTAAAGCCCGAAGACCCCGCCCTTTAACTTGCAGGTATCCTAAACCCTCCACTGCTGCTCCCTCAACTGACCGGCTCTTGGTAGGAAAAGTTTAGGTCGTCTGGATGTGCCGGTTGGGACATATGGGGACCTAATTCCATTCCCGAAGTCATTTCCAAGAACCCGCCAGTCTCCCAAACCAAACATCTTAAATCCGAAATTCCTACGCCTCAAGCCCTAAACCCAAACCCCAAACCCCAAACCCCAAACCCCAAACCCCAAAAAACTAAACCCCAAACCCTCAACCCGAAGCCCTAAACCCTAAACCCCAAACCCCAAACCCTAAACCCTCAACCCCAAACCCTAAACCCAAAGCCCCAAACCCTCAACCCTCAACCCCAAACCCCAAACCCTAAACCCCAAGCCCCAAACCCTAAACCCCAAACCCCAAACCCTAAACCCCAAGCCCCAAACCCTCAACCCCAAACCCTAAACCCTCAACCCCAAGCCCTAAACCCTAAACCCCAAACCCTAAACCCTAAACCCTCAACCCCAAACCCTAAACCCTAAACCCCGGAGCTTCTGCACCGATGCAGGCAGGTACCCATCGTCCTCGGCCGGGTGGTGAACTCCTTGGGCAGGCTTGGGGTGGGATTCGAGGGTTTCTAGGGTTCTGGGTTTAGGGTCTGGGGTTTAGGGTTTAGGCTTTGGGGTTTAGGGTTTAGGGTTTGGGGTGTAGGGTTTGGGGTTTGGGGTTTAGGGTTTAGGGTTCCGGTATATACTGTATAGGCACATGGACCCTTAGGACTTGTTGTGGGGCGCTAGCAGGCTCGTATGTTGGGGAAGTTTCGAAAGTATTAGGTCGCTTACTTATGGGTAGGGTTTAGGGTTCAGGGTTCAGGGTTCAGGGTTTAGGGTTTAGGGTTTAGGGTTTAGGGTTTAGGGTTTAGGGTTTTTGGGTTTAGTGTTTGGGGTTTGGCCCCCTCTCTTAGTACTTTGGATCGCAAGCGATACACAAACTTTAAAGGTTCGGTTTCTCAGTAGGGTCGACCCATGAGCTGTGTTTTTTATTATTATTTAGGGTTTAGGGTTTAGGGTTTCGGGTTTAGGGTGTCTGGTATGAAGACGCATGGTGGATTGCCTTCTCAACTGTACCCTGTCCTGTGTTCGACCACGGTCATTCTGGGAGGTTGGGGCAAAACCCTAAAAGCCGTAAAAACCCTAAACCGCATGGCCTGGCGACCGCAAAACGTGGCGCCCGTAAGGCCCCCAAACCCTGAACCCCGCAAACCCTGAACCCAAAACCCCTTAACCCGAAGCCATCACTGCAGGACGCCTTCTACGGAATCTACTACATGGAGCGGGCTGGAGACAAGGACAAAGACAACGAGAAGGTCTAGGGTTTAGGGTTGTACTGCCCGAAGAGCCTGAACTTTAGATCCCTAAGCCTAAGGCCTCAAGCCACTAAACCGGACCTCATACCCTAAAACCCGAAAACCCTGCAGGACACGTATGGATACTGGAATCAGGGGGACTGGCCGGTCTACATGATTGAAGGCCAACTTTGCCGTGCCAGTGATGAGCGCCCAGGATATCAAGGGTTTTGCAATTTGTGTTTGTGCGTGTAATCAGTTTAGGGTTGAGGGTTGAAGGTTAGGGTTTACAGTTTAGGGTTTAGGGCTTAGGGTGCATTCTAAATCCCAGCTCATCCGGTTGAGGGCTTGTGCTAGAGGTTTTAGATATGGGGCCATAGAAAAGTACGAGAACGATCCATCTACTAAACCGCCCGAAGCCCTGTAAATTCCCAAAACCCGAACCCCTACGACATCCTACCCCGACCCCCAAAATCTCAACCCAGAGATACCCCTGAACCTGAAACCCTAAGCCCCTAGGTACGTAGGGAACCTTAGTAGGGGAGGTAGGGAGCCTTAGGGGGTAGTGGGGAGTATTCGGGAACCTTGGATTACATACCCCCCTTGGAACCCCCCTCCCTCAAGAACCCTCATCCCTAAACCCTAAACCTTAAACCCTAAACCCTAAACCTTAAACCCTAAACCTTAAACCCTAAACCCTAAACCCTAAACCCTAAACCCTAAACCTTAAACCCTAAACCTTAAACCCTAATAGAGCAACAGAGAGCTACTGAGGTGCAACCCGCCCCTGCAAGTGCACGTGGAGTTCGATCAGTACAAATTCATCAGTTTGGAGTTCGCTTGCAAGGAGGCGAGGAAAGCCCTAAACCCTAAAGCCTAAACCCTAAACCCTAAACCCTAAACCCTAAACCCTGAAGCCGAAGCCCTGAACCTGGGCTTGGGGTGATCCCTCTTCCCGCCTGTTCGGGAATGTGTTCTGGAGTATCTTCGCGGAAACCCTAAACCCTAAACCCCCCCCCCACACCTCCCCCGCCCCTAAACCCTAAACCCGAAACCCGAAACCCTAAACCCGATACCCTAAACCCTAAACCCTAAACAGAGGGTTGGGTTTTCAAAAAGGACACGATCCTGGCCACCGCCCGAGGGATGCTCCGGCTGCAGGGAAGGAGGAAGTGGGTTTATGGTTATAGGGCTTAGGGTTTAGGGTTGAGGGTTCAGGGTTTAGGGTTTAGGGTTTAGGGTTTAGGGATGTAAGGTTTAGGTCTCTAAGCCCTCAGCCCTAAACCCTGAACCCTGAGACCTGAACCACACCCAAACCACCCAAAACCCAGAAGCTCTGCGCCTCTGCCTGTGTGTTTCAACCTCGGAGCTTCCGAGATTGGCTCAGCGTTTAGGGTTTAGGGTTTTGGGTTTAGGGTTTAGGGCTACTTGGAGGTTCAGGGCACTGGTAACCCCCATTTTCAGCTGTACTTATAGGCGATCCGAAGTCTGGGCCCATAATTTGCCTTCTTTTTAGTACCCCTTATATACATAGGGTTTGTGGGTTACAGGGTGGGGCCCCCTTACTATACTAACTGTGAAACCGCCCAGGCATACAGTTGGATCAGCTCCTCTTCGCTGCGGCCTCTTGTCAGCCGGCCCGAGCCAGGCACGAGCTGGTCAAGCAATGCACAGGCCCGCCATTGCACTTAGGTCCGCTTTGAACTCAAAGAGCATTCAGAGCAGACATCACAACAGTTTCACTTTAACCAAACACTTTACATTTGTGCGTTGGAAGCAAAAGAGCCAATTCTCTGCCAGTGCGATTCCGCACTGGTAGCGGAGCGGTTCGCTCTCGCCATGGCTTCAGACGGCAAGCAGCCTTTTCCCTGGCGTGACGACGAGATCTGTGTGGACCGTGATGGGATACCACACTACTCTGGAACGAAGCCGGAGCTGATGAAAGAGTACAGGCGCCGCGTGCTGTTTGCGTATGCAAACCTAGAGGGCAGTGGCGACGAAGAGGCCAAGGAGAAGAAGAGTCTGGAGCGGAAGCAAAGCCGTTTCGCCAAGAAGTTGATCGATGCCTTGCATGGCGAAGCTTGGCGAGCATGTGAAGAGCTCTTGGCCGAGCCGGCCAAGCTACGCGAGAAAGAAGGCTACAAGCTCGTCTTCAAGGCTTTGCAGAGCATAGAGAAAGTTGGCGTTATCAAGAAGACGGAGGCCTTTGACCAGTTCTTCGAGAAGTGCTACCGCAAGAAGGGGCAAAGCATAGATGCCTTTCTTAGGCAGCGGAAGAAGGACTGGGACGACCTGCTTGACCTCGCGGAGGGCATCCAGATGAGCGAGGACCTTCGCGCTTACTTCCTCTTGAAGCACGTGAACCTCAGCAAGGACGAGCGCCGCAGCATCCTCTTAGCAAACCAAAGCAACTACAGCATGGAAGGAATCGAGAAAGCTTTGCGCATCAGCTACTATGACATCCACGAGCGAGAGAAGTCCCAACGAGACGGCCCTTCGAGTTTTCGTCGTTTCCAGCCTCGAGACCAAGCTCGCAAGAACTACGCGCACCAGGTGGCCGACGAGGACTCCGAGGACCCCGCCGGTTACCAGGACCCGGACGGCGAGAACGAGGACGACGAGGACTATGCCATGGCCGCGGACGAGGAGAATGAGGTCGGCCAGGACGGCGACTCTGATGCTGGTGCCAGCCAGGACAGTGAGATCTTTGAGGCGTTTTCGGCAATGGATGGGCAGCGCCGTGGCTACAAGGATTCGAGGAAGCGCCTTCGAGAGCTGCAGAAAGCGCGAGGGTTCCACAAGCCGAAGGACGCCGGCAACAGCGAGGAGCGGAAGGCGATGATCAGCCGAGAGAAGCAGCGGACTCGCTGCTCTACGTGTGGCCGTCTGGGCCACTGGTCTGGCGACCCAGAGTGCAGCCAAGCCCGTGCTAGCAAAGGTGGTCGCAAAGGTGGCGGCCGAAGCTCTTCCCCTTCCAAGTCGCGAGGTGCCGGTGCCAAGGGCAAGGCCTACATGGTCAGCGAGGCCCCCCGCTTCTTTTCCCTCGACGGGCAGCTGGACGAAGCCGACGGCTACGCCAACGTGGTGCTCGAGGCCTTTGACATGGAGCAGGACGCTGGTGAGACGGAGCTAGACAGCAAGCGCAAGAAAGCCCAGGCAGCAGCCGACGGTTTCCCCGAGGACGGCTCTACGGCCGGCGGCTACCTTGGAACGGCCGAAGCGGCAGCGCCCTGGACGACACTGGCTGCGCATGACAAGGACTATGTGGAGGCCACCGTCTACATCCCCAAGACCAGCGTGCACTACCACGACGTGCAGAGCTTGAGTGAGGTGATCCCCGCAGACTTCGACGAGATGATCCTTCGAGCCCTTCAGCAAGAGTGCGACCGGTGGGGCATCGCGACGAGTGGTTCCAAAGCCCAGGTGAAGAAGCGTTTGGAGGACTTCTACAAGGGCAAGACGGTGCTGCGCAAGGGCTGCGCCACTAAGTATGAGCAGCTGCGCGTGAAGAGCGTTGACATGTACTATGGCGCCGCATCGTCTACCTCAAGCTCCTTGCCTTTGCCCACAAAGACCGAAAAGAGCAAGACAGCCACGAAGGACAGCAAGTCAGCCGTCGAGGACAGCAAGACAGCAAGCCGTATATTTCGAAGTTACGGGACGGCGACCGTGCTTGAAGGTGCGAGGGCGCAGGATATCCCGAAGACGCCGAAGGTTCTGCAGGACCCGCGCACAGGCATCGTGGTGGAGTCGCAGCTGGAGCTCAATGGCGCGGCTTATGGCTTGGTTTGTTCGCGCTGTTCGGCACACATGGTGCTTCGCCGTGCTGGCTCTGACAGTGGCCTTTTCTTCGGTTGCGGCAACCACTTCATCGGCGTGTGCGAGGAGACAGTCAAGTTCGAGGATGGGTTGCGGCACCTCGGGTTGCCGTATGCAGCCGGGCCACGACAACCTCGACCTAGCAAGCTACCTGTGGCGGAGGATGTCAATGTGCAGCTGGGCATCGACATTTTCCAGCTGAAGGACGCTGATGGTGGAGCCTGGCTTTGGTTGAGTGTTCTTTGCCAAGGCACCACCTACCAGATTTGCGCGCTGCTGCGCAACAGCTTTGCAAACCCCACGGGTGCCGAGGTGATCGAGGTCTTCTCCACTCACTGGCTCGCATGGGCAGGTTATCCGGAGCGAGGTGTGCTGAGCGACCGTGCCAAGTACTTCCTTGCGGACTTCGCCGAGGACCTTGCCGGGAATGGTTGCTACTTCGAAACTTCGGCAAGGGCGATCCCGTGGCAAGTTGGACAAGTCGAGCGGCATGGCGCACTGTGGAAGGAGACTGCTGGCCGTGTGATCGAGGCCGAGCAGCTGGCGGGGCTTGACAACATGTTGCAGTTGACCGCTTTTGTGAACCAGGCCAAGAACTCCCTTGCACGACGGCGCGGCTTTAGTCCTACTCAGTGGGTGCTGGGAAAAGATGTGAGATTACCAGCAGCCTTGTTGGACGACGCCGAGGTCTTGCGTGGCTGACTTCATCAAGATGAAGAGCTATGTCGGACAAGCCAGGAGAGGCGCAGACGTGAAGCTGCGCTACTGGAGCGATGTTAGCCTTCGGGACGGCGTGCTGGTGATCCTGGCAGATAGTGGGCATGCCAATGGCACGCCAGAGTCAGATGAGCGCATGAGATACCGCTCAGTGGGCGGCTACTTCGTGCTGATCGCCAATGCCGGGATCCTGGAGGATAAAGAGGTGCGGGCAAACGTGCTGTACTTCCACTCTGGGCAGACGAAAAGAGTTTGCCGCTCCACCCTGGCAGCCGAGGCAAGTCACCTTGCCGAAGGTGTTGAAACAGGCGACTGGTTAGCAGTACTACTTGAAGAAGCATTGGTTGGAGACATTGATCTCCAGCGCTGGCCAGAGATCGTGGACGCCCGGAAGCGCGTCTACGTGACGGACGCGAAGTCTGTGTTCGACTACTTGGCAAAGGACAACGCGAACACAAGCTCAGACAAGAGGATGGCAATAGAAGGAGCACTCCTTCGTGAGACCATTCGGCGACCCAATGCCTTTACACCTTGGATAGATGGCTTGCAAAATTTCGCAGATGTTCTTACCAAAGCCGGAGCAGACAAAGCGGTCCTCTACGAGTTCATGAGAAGCGGAATGATCGGCCTAGTGCAGACTGAGCAGAACAAGCAGGTGAAGGCGCATGACCTCACCAAGCAAAGACGAGATGCAGCCCGAAGGGCACAAGTTGCATCAGAAGTTGAGCAAGGAAGCTTTTCCAGTGGAGACTGATCCAAAAGAAAATACAATGGGTGTGAAACCGCCCAGGCATACAGTTGGATCAGCTCCTCTTCGCTGCGGCCTCTTGTCAGCCGGCCCGAGCCAGGCACGAGCTGGTCAAGCAATGCACAGGCCCGCCATTGCACTTAGGTCCGCTTTGAACTCAAAGAGCATTCAGAGCAGACATCACAACAGTTTCACTTTAACCAAACACTTTACATTTGTGCGTTGGAAGCAAAAGAGCCAATTCTCTGCCAGTGCGATTCCGCACTAACTGTAGTTAAGGGACTTATAACCTAACTTAGGGTCCTTATAGCCCAATTTAGGGCCCTTATAACTCTACTTATAACTAGGGGGCCCCACCCTGTAGGAAAGCTAGGACCCACAGTCGGCCTGTCTTATTTTGTTTATGGGTGGGGGGGAGGGGGGGGAGATTCGGGTTTCGGGTTTTGGGGTTTAGGGTTTAAGGTTTCTGGGGTTTAGGGTTTCGGGTTTAGGGTTTCGGGTTTTAGGGTTTAGGGTTTAAGGTTTTGGGGTTTTGGGTTCCCGATTAAGGCCCCTTTAAACCCCAAGAAGGGTACCCTTGTTGCTCCTGCAATTGCTCGTGGGGGTTTAGGGTTTTGGGTTTAGGGTTTACAGGGTGGGGCCCCCGTACTATACTAACTGTAGTTAAGGGACTTATAACCTAACTTAGGGTCCTTAGAACCCAATTTGGGGCCCTTATAACTCTACTTATAACTAGGGGGCCCCACCCTGTAGGGTTCAGGGCTTGAGGTTTAGAGTTTAGGGTTTTAGGGCGGGCTTTTGTGTGTCTGGGCTTCGGGATGTAGGGCTTGGGCTTGAGGGCATAGCTTCATCCCAAACCCAGACACCCTAAGCCCGACTTCATGGATATCCTGATAGGCGTAGGGTTTAGGGTTTAGGGTTTAGGGTTTAGGGTTTAGGGTTTAGGGTTTAGGGTTTAGGGTTTAGGGCGTAGGGTTTAGGGTTTAGGGTTTAGGGTTTAGGGTTTAGGGTTTAGGGGCCCTGTGCTCTGAGGATGAGTGGCGACCTGCTGCTTGAGGTTGTCCTCGATCGCACGGAGACCCTCCGTGGCTTGCACAAGAAAGTGAAGCAGGACCGGCCTTAGGGTTTAGGGTTTAGGGTTTAGGGTTTAGGGTTTAGGGTTTAGGGTTTAGGGTTTAGAGTTTAGGGTTTAGGGTTTAGGGTTTAGGGTTTAGGGGTACCGCAAGCCCTGAACCCTAAACACTCTGTAATCCGCAGCACCGAGGATCCGAGGCCCCAATTCGTGGCTTGGGAGTCCTTTTGGGGTGACGCGCTCATGACGGTGGTGTAGGGCTTAGGGGTTTAGGGTTTGGGTTTTAGGCTTAGGGTTTAGGGTTTAAGGTTTACAGTTTAGGGTTTGGGGTTTAGGGTTAGGGTTTAGGGTCTTGGGTCTAGGGTTTAGGGTTCGGGATTTAGGTTCTCGGGGTTTGGGATTCTACAGGCGTCTGCACCCATGCTGACGAACCTGAAAGCCCCGGACGTGGGTAAACCCCACATACTGTCACTGAGACCCCAGGAATGAGGGTACAAAGAAGAGCTACCCAGGTTGGAAAAATCGCACACGGCCACAAATGGAATACGGCCTCCAAGTAACGCCCTTAACCGTGCACCCTCCCGGGGTGAGAAGGGGATCCGCAGAGGGGATTGTGCGAAATGGGGGTTTACGAGAATAGGGGACCCCGAAAAGAGACCCCCACATAGTCCCTTATAATACGGACCCCAATAAGGTACCCTAATGTCAGGAAAAACAATATTTGGGAAATATCAGTGGTACCATGTTTTGGAAAAGCTCAGGGATACCCTGTTTGGAGAATGCCCATGTCTGTGCGAGAGAGACTTTCAGTGCTAGTTTTCAGCTTTGGCGTTGGTTTCAAAAGCTCCGTTTTGCCCTAAGCCCCGCCCTGACTTTGCGCACTCCAAAAGCGGGTTGAGGAAGGATTGAAGGGGACTTTAGGGTTTAGGGTTTATAGGGCTTAGGGTTCAGGTGGGATTGAATTCGGCTTCGGGTTTGGGGGTTCGCTGTTTGCCCTAAACCCTAAACCCTAATCCCTAAACCCTAAACCCTAAGCCCTAAACCCTAAACCCTAAACCCCAGGGTTCGGGAGAACTTGGGTTTCCTGCAGGAGCTCTACAAGCAGCACCCCGACACGCCAGCGGGAATTTGCCTCACCCTGTTGCTGGGATGATTTATGTGTGTCAGGGCCTCGCCCCAAAACCCTAAACGCCCTAAACTTTTCTGCGAAGTGAATGCAGGTTGATGAGCAATGGCTATAGGCCCCTGTAGATTTTTCTTTCGAGCTCAAGAGCATGTTTATCTCCTTGTGCCGAAAGACTTCTGCCAACAATGTTACGGCACTTATTGCCCAGCTTGGGACCGTTGCATATAACTCTACTTGTGACGACGGGTCCGCTCCCTGTGGGCTAGAAGCCTAAACCCTAACGGAACTATCCTCAAACCACAAAACATCCTAAATCATCAAAAACGAACAAAGTAGAAAAACAACGAGACAGAACAAACCACTTGTAAACCCTAAAGCCCTGCTGTCTCTGGGCCCAAAGCCCTGAAATCAGAGTCCACAGAGCCTTGGTTCGGGTCATCATTCTGCCCCCAAACCAGCATGTAATCCTTGGACCCTTCAGCCCTGAACAATCAAAGTTGCAAGTCTAGTCCCGAACCTTCGCCAATTCTTGGACCAAGAGAACCCTAAAATGCTGAATGCTGAAAGCCTTGGAAGTCTATGCCCTTCAACAACCCTGAAGCCCTGAAATCCTTAGACTACCCTTCAACAACCCTAAAACCCTGAAATCCTTGGACCCCTATACCCTTCAACATCCCCAGACCCCTGGGAGCATCCAAAAAGGTAGATCCCCTCGAGGGTTCCCAAGAATGACCCAACAGCAGTAGAGAGTTTAAGGTTTAGGGCTTAGGGTAGTATCTAGAGGGTTCTACAGAGAGTTTAGGCTTTGGGGTTTAGGGCTTAGGGTTTGGGTTTTAGGGGTTAGGGTTTAGGGTTCAGGGTTACGGGTATTATTTTGGGGGGGTTCTTTTTGGATCCTCCCAGGGGGGCCGGGGCCCAGGACGGGTGCGGAGGGACAGCTGCTGTCGCCGCCGCCTCCTCCCTCTGAGCCGGACCAGAAACTCCTTGACTTCCTTTGATGCCACCTGGCATGGTTTAGGGTTTATGGCGTGTAGGATTTACAGGGTTTATAGGGTTTATAGGGTTTCTAAGGTTAACAGGGTTCATAGGGTTTTTAGGGTTTATAGGGTTTATAGGGTTTATAGGGTTCATAGGGTTCATAGGGTTTATAGGGTTTATAGTGTTTATAGGGTTCATGGGTTTAGAGGGTTTAGAGGGTTTCTAGGGTTTATAGGGTTTGGGGTTTAGGCTTTAGGGGCCCTAAACTCTCAACCCTTAAACCCTTCAACTATAGGGTTTAGGGTTTAGGGTTTGGGCAGCCTACATAGTAGCAGCGGGTCTATGACCCCCGATTTAAGGGTTCATTTGGTTATTTCCCAAACTGGGGGGGTACCCCCTGTACACCTCAAATAGAATGGAATCCCCTTGAAAGGACCCCCAAAAAGGGTACCCCTAAACCCTAAACCCTAAACCCTAACCCGTAACCCCAAACCCCAAACCCTAAACCCTAAACCCCCATGTGGGGGTATGCAAGGACCTACAAGCAGAGCTGCAGCGCGGCAGCTGCAAGAAGTCGTGCTGGTGCTGGAGGAGGTGTGAGGAGGTGGAGGTGGGAATCCCTAGAAACCCTCTCGGGTTGTTTAGGGTTTAGGGTTTGTAGGGTTGGGGGTTTAGGGTTTAGGGTGAAGCAATCCCTTCAAAATCTTCAAAATGTTCCCCCTTATACTAACAGTCCTTAATAGGGCTTGTAATTGGCGGAGGGGGGGGGGGGTACTATAAACCCCAGTAAGGACTGGTAGTGTAAGGGGGAACATCCCAAGCAATCCTGCCACAACCCCATCAAAGACTTAAATCAACTGAAAAACTCCTGAACAGCCAAATAGTTTTCATACAAGTAGCACTCAATGAAACACTTAGCGTCCTCCCTGGCAGGAAGCGGATGCAACCACCCTGGAGACGCTCCGTTCATGGACAACCAGCTCATCGAGATCACTGCGCCGTGCGGACACACGCGCGCGTGCGCGCGCCAGGACGAAAAGGTAAGGCGTTAGCTTGGGGAGCAGATGAACCCCATGATCGGGGTCAACCCTATGCTATTCTACTCCCTATTGTGGTATATGGACTATAAACCCTTTTGGTGTTCGTTTCGTCCCCAAGATAAGATTTACTCGGGATTTGAGGAAAATTAGGGAGTCTAGGGGTTCCAGGTGCAGGGTTCAGGGTTTAGGGTTTAGGATTTAGGATTCAGGGTTCAGGGTTTAGGGTTTAGGGTATAGGATTACGGGTTTAGGGTTTAGGGTTTAGAGTTTAGGGTTTAGGGTTCACAAGATGGCGCGCGCGCTTGCGCGCGCCCGCGCGCGTTCTGAGGATCAGCTCGCCCGCCCCAATCATCAGAGCGACGCTCCTGGAACCCTTTGGACCTAAGCTCGAATCCCTAAACCCCAAGCCTCCCAACCACTCACAGGGTTCAGGGTTTAGGGTTTAGGGTTGAGGGTTGAGGGTTTAGGGTTTAGGGTTTAGGGCAGTTTTGCTCAGACATGTGGGTATGTGGCTTGCCGCAGCAAAAAGAACCATCTCATCCTTCATCCCAATCCCACGACCTTGTCGCCCCAAGGCCATAAGCCCCGGAAGCAACCTCAACCTCCCCAACCCTAAACCCTAAACCCTGAACCCTATAAACCCCTAAACCCCTAAACCCTAACCCCCACCCCCCACCCCGAAATAAACAACAAAAAAGAGGCTCGTCCAAACCCTGTAAACCCTACCTACCACCCCTAAACCCCAAACCCCACAGAGCCTTCAACCCTGCAACTACCAGCCTCCCCAAACCCTAAACCCAAAACCCAAACCCTGAACCCTAAACCCTGAACCCTAAGCCCTAAGCCCTAAACCCTAAACCCTAAACCCTAAACCCTAAACCCTGAACCCTCCCCCCCTGAAAAAAACAACACGTCGGCTCCTTCCGCGCCATGGCTCGCGACGTCGGGGCCCTGAGGGGTGTTACAGGGTGGGGCCCCCTTACTATACTCACTGTAGTTAAGGGACTTATAACCTAACTTAGGGTCCTCATAACCCAACTTAGGGCCCTTATAACTCTACTTATAACTAGGGGGCCCCACCCTGTAGGGTTCACTGCGAGGGTTTGAGGGTTTAGGGTTTATAGGGCTTCAGGGATTGAGGGTTTAGGGTTTAGGGTTTTGGGGTGTTTGGGTTTGAGGGTTTAGGGTTTAGGGTTTAGGGCCCCAGCAAGGTCCACGGGGATGGACAGGCCAACTTCGGGGACATCATGCAGCGGAGCTCTGGCGAGGTGTACCTCGGCCTTCATCGGAAGACAAAAGCCCTAAAGGTTTAGGGTTTAGGGTTTGGGGTTTAGGGTTTAGGGTTTAGGGTTTAGGGTTTGGGGTTGAAGGTTCCTGTAAGACCTGTGAGCCTTAGAGACCTCAAAAGTCCTAGTGGCGCCCTAAACCTAAACCCTAAACCGCCCTAAACCCTAAATCCTAAACCCTAAACCCATGCGGGTCTGGGGGTTAGGGTGCAAAAGGCAGAGACCCTTAGCCATAGGTGGCCTTGTAAGGGCCCAAGACTGGGTAAGATGTACTAGCTCCTTTCAGGGGTCGGAACCATTTTCCTTATGTCCCTTCGTAATTATACTATAATAACCCCCCCCACCCCCCCAAATCCCTATTCTAATAATTTAGGCCCCCCCATATTAGCCAATGGGTGCCCCCAAACGCCGAGCCTTCTGAACCCTAAACCCTAAACCCTAAACCCTAAACCCTAAACCCTAAACCCTAAACCCTAAACCCTAAACCCTAAACCCTAAAACCATCTCTCCACGGGCGCTCTGAGCACAAAACCCGCCCAGGCCGATTCCGGGCCCGTTGGCCAAGAAGTTGCAGGATGCCCCGTTAGGGTTTTTTAGGGTTTAGGGTTTAGGGTTTAGGGTGTAGGGTTTAGGGTTTTAGGGTTTGAGGGTTTTTTAGGGTTTTAGGGTTTAGGGTTTTTAGGGTTTAGGGTGTTTAGGGCGTTTAGGGCTTTATGGTTTAGGGTTTTTGGGGTTTAGGGCTTCATGATTTAGGAACCTTTCTGTCTCTAGTCTCTCTCCCCCTCTCGCTCTCTCTCTTTCTCTCTCTTTCTCTCTCTCTATTTCTCGCTCTTTCTCTCGCCTCTCCCGGGGGCTTAGGCTTTAGGGTTTAGGGTTTAGGTTTCTGAGGGTTTAGTGTTCAGTTCAGGGTTTCTAGGGTTATTGTTTTATGGATATGTTTTTGCTTTAGTTCGGGGGGTTTTGCTTCCTTATCAGGATTTAGGGATAGCATGTTAGGCGTTTGTGCGATTCGGGTTCACGCGGTCCATGTTCAGGGCTATGGCTTCCGGCAAGAGTTGTTCTGTGTGACGTAGGTCCCGTTACTCGAGCATGAACCCCTTAATTAAGCCACACCAAGCCACCGTTTCATTCCTCGTTTACTCTTTGGGCCCAGTTTAAGACATGCTTTGGCATGTTCCCCTTTATACGATTCGTCCTTCATAGGCGGTACTAGAATCCCTGTGAAGGACTGTTAGTATAAGGGGGACGAGCTGAAGAGATGCTTTAAGAAGGTGTTGATTGCAAGGAGGATGCCTCCACAGTTAAACGTCACCCTCAGATATCTAAGGGTAGTTTCCTGGGCCCTTTACATGGTCCCTAGCCTCCTTTGAAGAGTTCTGATGTATGGGCCCTTAATTTGAGGGTATTTAAGGGCCATAGAAGTTCAGGGCCCACGGTTTAGGGTGTAGGGTTTAGCGTTTAGGGTTCAGGGCCCATAGTAAGGGACCAGAAGCCCTCAGCCCAAATCTGCATTCTGGAAGGACACAGAGTGGTACACTGGGCACCCGTTCCACGGGATCGTCCTGGCAGCTGGGCCTGCAACCCTAAACCCTAAACCCTAAACCCTAAACCCTAAACCCTAAACCCTAAACCCTAAACCCTAAACCCTAAACCCTAAACCCTAAACCCAAACCCTAAACCCCCAAACTCCCCCCAAAAGAAGAGCCCAAGGCAGCCAATGGCGCGCTGCAGCGGACGATGTCCGCCTGGTATCAGGCGGTGCCTCTTTCCGCAAGAGGAGCTTAGGGTTTAGGGTTTAGGGTTTAGGGTTCAGGTTTCGCAAGAGGAGGTTAGGGTTCCTGAGGGTCTGAGGGTTTGGGGTTTAGGGTCCTTGAACGTCTCCTTTGTAGGGTTTAGGGCTTCGGGTTCCAGGGGTCTTGGGGTCTTCGGGTGCGGAAGGGTCTTAGGGTGTTAGGGTCTTAGGGTCTTAGGGTCTTAGGGTCTTAGGGTCTTAGGGTCTTAGGGTCTTAGGGTCTTAGGGTCTTAGGGTCTTTCTTAGGGTCTGAGGGTCTTAGGGTCTTTGGGTCTTTGGGTTTAGGGTTCAGTGTTTTTTTGGTTTCCGGGTCTGAGGGTCTTCGGGTCTTAGGGTTTGCCTCACTGAATAGAACGCGCAGCCCACCTTTTTCGGTAGGGTTCGTAAGAATTCCAAGGGGTTTTATTGTATACAAAGAACCCACAAAGAAGTGGGTTTTGGTTTCTTCAGGGAGGGTTTGGGGGTCTTAGGGTTTAGGGTTCCGCGTTTTAGGGTTTAGGGTCTTATGATCTTATAGGGTTTTACGGATGTCAGGCCCCCCTTGTCTCAGGGATTGACGCCTGAAACTGAAAAAAAGCGCTCCAGAATGACAACTCCGCCCACCCCAATTCCTGCAAACCCTACAACCCCTACAATTTCTATAAGCCCTTCCAACCCATAACAAACAACACCCCAAAGCCCCCAAACCCTAAACCTCCTCAACCCTGAAACCGATGCCCTCAAAACCCCGAAACCCGAATCCCGAAACCCGAAAGTTGAAACCCGAACCCTAAACCCTAAACCCTAAATAAACCCTAAACCCTAAATAAACCCTAAACCCTAAATAAACCCCAAACCCTAAATAAACCCTAAACCCTAAATAAACCCTAAACCCTAAGTAAACCCTAAACCCTAACCTTGAA